CTATGGTAAAAAGTGCATGCAAGACTGGGTTTCCTAAATCCAGGTACCTTTGACTGAGCAATCTCTATTTTCTTCCCAACCGGCAGGAAAGTTGTGGAAGTCCCCAAGAGGAGGTTCGGGATCCCGCTGGACCGGATCGGAGCAAACCGACTGAATAACTCCAAAGGTTAGTACAAGGTGGTATGACCAGATTGAAGAGTGGGTTGAGAGGAACCGGACCCATATTTGGCACAAGCTACTGCCCAAATGGGATTAAAATCATCTAGATCAGGCCTGGGCCAACTCTGACCCTCTAGGTGTTTTGGACTTCAATTCCCACAATGTCTAACAGTCAGAAGTTGAAATCCAAAACACCTGGAGGGTCCAAGTTGGCCCAGATCTGATTTAAATCCCTGTTCCCCTTCAAAAATGGGTTCGTTCTAGGAGGTAATGTGCACTTGATGTTTCCCTGCTACCTTTTATAAAGACATACTAGTGTTTGAAACCTTGGACACATCTATACTGTGGAACAAATGCAGTTTGGCACCACTTTAATAGCCATAGCTCTTTGCAATGCAATCCTGTGACCTGTAGTTTCATGAGGCCTTTAGCCTTCTCTGCCAATGAGTGCTGGCACCTCACCAAACTACAAATCATAGAAGGTACCTCCTGTGAGGGTTGGTAAACGTGAATAAGCAGAATCCGCAGAAGCTTTACCGCAGTATTTAAGCAACATTTAAAATACACCATGCAGTATAATAAGCTCAAGTTTGTGAATAGTATCTTTACTTTAGTTCAAAGGTTTAAATAGGGTAACAATGTATATTTCAGTCATAGAATCATAGAATCAAAGAGTTGGAAGAGACCTCATGGGCCATCCAGTCCAACCCCATTCTGCCAAGAAGCAGGAATATTGCATTCAAATCACCCCTGACAGATGGCCACCCAGCCTCTGTTTAAAAGCTTCCAAAGAAGGAGCCTCCACCAAACTCCGGGGCAGAGAGTTCCACTGCTGAACAGCTCTCACAGTCAGGAAGTTCTTCCTCACTGTGAGAGCGTTCAGTCTCTTTGAATTCAGACAGAGATCAGAGGAATAAAATAGTCCTTTTAAATAGTCTGAACATGTTTTGTGTTTTATCCTTGCGAACCATTTCCCTACAGCAGTTGTTTATTTGTTTGAATTCTTCTTTGATAATTTCTCCCTTTTTCCACTTCTTGTGCATGTCTCTTTTTAGAGTCTTAGCACAGTTAGAAATTCTTTGGACATCCATTCTGGCTTCTTTGCATTTGTCCTATTTTTTCTTTTCTTTTTGTTGGCTCTGTTTGCAATTGTGCCTTGAGTATTTCACTCTTGAAAAACTCCCATCCATCCGTAACTACCTTGTCTTTTAGTATCCAAGGCCATGGAACACTACTCAGTATTTCCTTCATTTTTTGGAAGTCAGCTCTCTTAAAGTCCAAAATGCAGGTTTGATTTGTCTTAGTTTCGGCCTTCCTTTGTATGTCAGACTGCAGGAGCACACGGTCACTTACCCCTATGGATCTGACCATTTCAACTGCATCGATCAGGTCCTCCACATTTGTTAGGATGAGATTGAGAGTAGCCGACCCCCTTGTTGCCTCTTCTACCTTCTGGACCATGAAATTGTCTGCAAGGCAAGCGAGGAATTTGTTGGATTTTGTACTCTTGGCTGAATTTGTTTTTCAGCAATATTGATCTACTCACATTTGCATGTTTTCAAACTGCTAGGTTTGCAGAAGCTGGGCCTAACAGCAAGAGCTTACCCTGCTCCCCAGTCAATTCCGATTTTCACAGAAAGAAATGTTCAAAACTTTTCAAAACTTCTGAGATTTCCGAATTCTTTCGTTAATGGTTTGAAAGTGTTATTTCCTGTTTCATTGGGTGGTCTTTACTTTGAAAGTAGTTGTTTTACTCCAGGAAGCAGGGAAAAGCAAGCGGAGGAAATTCCTTCCTTCTCCGGTTTAAAACTGGCTTCTCTGGCTTGAGGCAGAAGCGGGGAAAGCAAAGGGAGGAAATTCAGCCTTCCCCGGTTTAAAATGGGCTTTTCTGGCTTGAGACAGAAGCGGGGAAAGCAAAGGGAGGAAATTCAGCCTTCCCAGTTTAAAACTGGCTTCTCTGGCTTGAGCCAAGGCCAGGGACCAGAATCATTTCCGACTCATAGAATTATAGAATCATAGAATCAAAGAGTTGGAAGAGACCTCATGGGCCATCCAGTCCAGCCCCCTGCCAAGAAGCAGGAAAATCACATTTAAAGCACCCCCAACAGATGACCATTCAGCCTCTGTTTAAAAGCCTCCAAAGAAGGAACCTCCACCACACTCCCGGGCAGAGAGTTACACTGCTGAACAGCTCTCACTGTTAGAAAGTTCTTCCTAATGTTCAGGTGGAATCTCCTTTCTTGTAGTTTGAAACCATTGTTCTGCATCCTGGTCTCCCAGGCAAGCAGAAAACAAGCTTGCTCCTCCTCCCTATGACTTCTCTCACATATTTATACATGGCTATCATATCTCCTCTCAGCCTTCTCTACTTCCGACTCACTTCCTGAGTCAGAAGAAAAATGGTGAGACTAGCTTTGGAAGGGCAAAGGGACTTCTGGATTCCTAAAAAAGTTCAAAATTGCTTCAAAAAGGTAATCTTTAACAAATTTATTCCAAATTATGAAGATTCTGACTGGACCTAACCATGCAGAAAAAACTAAATGCAAAGATACAGAATGGGGGACAATGAGGCCTGGCTCGAGAGCAGGACGTGTGAAAAAGATCTTGGAGTCCTCGTGGACAACAAGTTAAACATGAGCCAGGAATGTGATGTGGCGGCAAAAAAAGCCAATGGGATTTTGGCCTGCATCAATAGGAGCATAGTGTCTAGATTCAGGGAAGTCATGCTCCCCATGCTCTATTCCGCTTTGGTTAGACCACACCTGGAATATTGTGTCCAATTCTGGGCACCACAATTCAAGAGAGATATTGACAAGCTGGAATGTGTTCAGAGAAGGAGGCGACTAAAATGATCAAGGGTCTGGAGAACAAGCCCTATGAGGAGCGGCTTAAGGAGCTGGGCATGTTTAGCCTGAAGAAGAGAAGGCTGAGAGGAGATATGATAGCCATGTATAAATATGTGAGAGGAAGCCACAGGGAGGAGGAGGGAGCAAGCTTGTTTTCTGCTCCCTGGAGACTAGGACGCAAGGGAACAATGGCTTCAAACTATTATTATTATTATTATTATTATTATTATTATTATTATTATTAAACTTTATTTGTACCTCTCTAGCATCTCCCGAAGGACTCGATGCGGCTTACAAAGGCCAAGGCCTCAAACAACAACAACAGACAATAACAATACAATGCAAGCAAATTAAAAACATAAGCAATAACAAAAACAAAACATTACACTATTACGCAATAAAACCAGGGCCGGGCCAATGAAGGGTACAGGTTAAAAAAGTGCTGGGTGTAAGAGGTGATATGTTGGGATTCTGGGCAAGTGCAATGTGCAGAGAGTCTTAAACTCTAATAAAGTGCTTCTGGGACGTAGTGCTGGAGGTTATCCTATTCTGGAAAGGCACATCGGAATAGCCAGGTCTTCAAGTTCTTCCTAAAGACTGCCAACGTGGGTGCTAGTCTAATGTCTTTGGGGAGGGTGTTCCAAAGTCAGGGGGCTACCACAGGGAAGGCCCTGTCCCTTGTCCCCACCAAACTACAAGAGAGGAGATTCCATCTGAACATGAGGAAGAACTTCCTGACTGTGAGAGCCGTTCAGCAGTGGAACTCTCTGCCCCGGAGTGTGGTGGAGGCTCCTTTTTGGAAGCTTTTAAACAGAGGCTGGATGGCCATCTGTCAGGGGTGATTTGAATGCAATATTCCTGCTTCTTGGCAGAATGGGGTTGGACTGAGGTCTCTTCCAACTTTAGGATTCTATGATTCTATAATTCTATGCCTACTATCTAGGCAGAGGCGGCCCTAGGTAATTTTCAACGGTAAACAAATAGTATTTTGATGCCCCCAACCAATCACTGATATATATTTTCTGTTCGTCGTGGGAGTTCTGTGTGCCATATTTGGTTCAATTCCATCATTGGTGGAGTTCAGAATGCTCTTTGATTGTAGGTGAACTATACATCCCAGTAACTACAACTCACATATGTCAAGGTCTATTTTCCCCCAAGAGCGCCTCAAGAGCGCCCCTGGGCAAAATCAACTATACTGCAAATGCTTACTTTGCGTAATGGGTTGAGCCGCCCCTGTATCTAGGCTAACTACTAGGCTTGGGCGATCCAGTTCGTTAATTTCGTTATTCGTTATTAATTCGTATTTAAATTAGCTTACGATCCAATATTGAGCCATGCAGGAATAGTGTGAGGAGTAATTAAGAATCGAAACAATTTTTCCAATTTTTCGTAATTATTTCGTAATTATTTTCGTATGTCTGGTGCAAGTTTTACAATCTCGCATTTACCCCACTTCCGGTCCCTTTGCTCTGCTGCTTCCCTCCTCTTTCCTCATGCTTCTTCTTGCCTCACTCTGGGCTGCACTGGGCTACCTTCCTTCCTTCCTTCCTTCCTTCCTTCCTTCCTTCCTTCCTTCCAGCTGGCAAATCCCACATTCCCCCCTCCCTCCTCTTTCTCCTGGCATCCTTCTTGCCCAAAATTTCTCATTACTTTATTTTTCATACCCTCACTCTATGCCACAGGAATGCGTTGCCAGGTACAGCTAGTATATAATATAATATAATATAATATAATATAATCATAGAATCAAAGAGTTTGGAAGAGACCTCATGGGCCATCCAGTCCAACCCCCTGCCAAGAAGCAGGAATATTGCATTCAAATCACCCCTGACAGATGGCCATCCAGCCTCTGTTTAAAAGCTTCCAAAGAAGGAGCTTCCACCACACTCTGGGGCAGAGAGTTCCACTGCTGAACGGCTCTCACAGTCAGGAAGTTCTTCCTAATGTTCAGGTGGAATCTCCTCTCTTGTAGTTTGAAGCCATTGTTCCATTGCGTCCTAGTCTCCAGGGAAGCAGAAAACAAGCTTGCTCCCTCCTCCTCCCTGTGGCTTCCTCTCACATATTTATACATGGCTATCATATCTCCTCTCAGCCTTCTCTTCTTCAGGCTAAACATGCCCAGTTTCCTAAGCCGCTCCTCATAGGGCTTGTTCTCCAGACCCTTGATCATTTTAGTCGCCCTCCTCTGGACACATTCCAGCTTGTCAATATCTCTCTTGAATTGTGGTGCCCAGAATTGGACACAATATTCCAGATGTGGTCTAACCAAAGCAGAATAGAGGGGTAGCATTACTTCCTTAGATCTAGACACTATGCTCCTATTGATGCAGGCCAAAATCCCATTGGCTTTTTTTGCCGCCACATCACATTGTTGGCCCATGTTTAACTTGTTGTCCACGAGGACTCCAAGATCTTTTTCACACGTACTGCTCTCGAGCCAGGCGTCCCCCATTCTGTATCTTTGCATTTCATTTTTTCTGCCAAAGTGGAGTATCTTGCTTTTGTCACTGTTGAACTTCATTTTGTTAGTTTTGGCCCATCTCTCTAATCTGTCAAGATCATTTTGAATTCTGCTCCTGTCCTCTGGAGTATTGGCTATCCCTCCCAATTTGGTGTCGTCTGCAAACTTGATGATCATGCCTTCTAGCCCTTCATCTAAGTCATTAATAAAGATGTTGAACAGGACCGGGCCCAGGACGGAACCCTGAGGCACTCCACTTGTCACTTCTTTCCAAGATGAAGAGGAAGCATTAGTGAGCACTCTCTGTGTTCGTCCACTTAACCCAGTGTTTCTCAACCTGGGGGTCGGGACCCCTGGAGGGGTCATGAGGGGGTTTCAGAGGGGTCACCAAAGACCATGAGAAAACACATATTTTTGATAATCTTAGGAACTCTTTTGGCAGAGAAGGCTGAAGATCTCTCTGCCTGTCCTTCTTTTTTGGTGTTGGTGAACTACAACTCCCAGAATTCAAAAACTGCCCTCCAACTCCACCAGTATTCAATGTTGGTCATGTAGATAGTGTGCCAAGTTTGGTACAGATCCATTGTGGGCTGGGTTCAGAGTGCTCTTTGATTGTAGGTGAACTATAAATCCCAGCAACTACAACTCCCAAATGTCAAGGTGTATTTTCCCCAAACTCCACCAGTATTCATATTTGGGCATATTGAAGATTTGTGCCAAATATGGTCCATATCCATCATTGTTTGAGTCCACAGTGCTCTCTGGATGTAGGTGAACTACAATTCCAAAATTCAAGGTCAATGCCCACCAAACCCTTCCAGTATTTTCTGTTGGTCATGGAAGTTCTGTGTGCCAAATTTGGTTCAATTCCATCGTTGGTGGAGTTCAGAATGCTCTTTGATTGTAGGTGAACTATAAATCCCAGCAACTACAACTCCCAAATGTCGAGGTCTATTTTCCCCAAACTCCACCAGTGTTCACATTTGGGCATATTGAAGATTTGTGCCAAGTTTGGTCCAGATCCATCATTGTTTGAGTCCACAGTACTCTCTGGATGTAGGTGAACTACAACTCCCAAACTCAAGACAATGCCCACCAAACCCTTCCAGTATTTTCTGTTGGTCAATGAAGTTCTGTGTGCCAAATTTAGTTCAATTCCATCGTTGGTGGAGTTCAGAATGCTCTTTGATTGTAAGTGAACTATAAATCCCAGCAACTACAACTCCCAAATGACAAAATCAACACCCCCCCCCCCCCCCAATATTCAAATTTGGGCGTATCTGGTATTTGTGCCAAATTTGGCTCAGTGAATGAAAATACACCCTGTGTCTCAGATATTTCCATTATGATTCATAACAGTAGGAAAATTACAGTTATGAAGGAGCAACAAAAATAATTTATGGTTGGGGGGTCACCACAACATGAGGAACTGTATTAAGGGGTCACAGCATTAGGAAGGTTGAGAAACACTGATTTACAATTCCAGATCCACCTCACCGTAGTTTTGCCTAGTCCACATTGGACTAGTTTCCTTGCCAGAAGGTCATGGGGGACCTTGTCGAAGGCCTTCCTGAAATCCAGGTACGCTCCATCCACGGCATTCCCCGCATCTACCCAGCTTGTAACTCTATCGAAGAAAGAGATCAGATGAGTCTGGCATGACTTGTTTTTGATAAATCCATGTTGACTCTTAGCGATGACTGCATTTGTTTCTAAGTGTTTGCAGACCGCTTCCTTAACAATCTTTTCCAGAATCTTGCCCGGTATCGACGTGAGGCTGACCGGACGGTAGTTGTTTGGGTCATCCTTTTTTCCCTTCTTGAAGATTGGGACCACATTGGCCCTCCTCCAATCTGCTGGAACTTCTCCCGTTCTCCAAGAACTCTTAAAGATGGTTGCCAATGGTTCCGAAATGACTTCCGCTATAATATAATATAATATAATATAATATAATATAATATAATATAATATAATATAATAATATAATATAATATAATATAATATAATATAATAATAATAATAAATATAATATAGTTGTTGTTTGTTTTATCACACCAACAGTCAACAACAGAGGGAGAGGGAAGCTTCAGAAGTTCCCCCTGTCCCATTTGGAGGTTTTTTTAGCATATTGCGCAATCGCGTCCGCCATTAACGAATCGATTCGTAATTTTATGAAATTTCGTATATTTCGAAATTTTTAAAAGGAAAATTTCGGAATTCTTAAAAAAAAAACGAAACGCAAGGGCCCCCTAAAAACAAAACGAGTTTAGAACCAAATTTTTCCGTGGTTACCCAAGCCTACTAACTACTTATTGAGGGCTGGAGACTTGTGCAGTCAGGGATGAAACCCAACCATTTCCTTTCCTTTCTTCCTTCCAGGTCTGCTTTCCCTTTCCGAAGCCGCGTCCAGAACCTCTGGCCTTGCAGGAGATGCCCCAAGGAGCCCTGGCCTGGTGTCCTTAAGCAAGAAATCCAAGAACTGCACCTCTCCTCTTTCGGCCTCGAACAAACTATAGCACTTCCGTCCACTGGATCAGAACTTCCTCTTCCTGGCACTCTGTCCTGTGGCTAAAAAGGAAGGGAAAGGCTGTTTTCGATGTATGTATGTTTGTGTGTATATAATAATTCCATAGCACTGGTAGGGGAAAAGGGTTTTAGGAGGTTGCTCAGCTGAGAGAGCAAGGCAGTTATTCACTTTGGGCATAGTCTGAGTTCTGTAAGAATACTTTTTTTGCAAATTTGTCATTCTTTTCATGTTGACAGAGTCATTTATCATTGTCGTGTAACCCTCTTTTTGAGTTCCTCGTGCCAATTTTGCATTCTGCAACTCTTTGTTGTTTGGAGTTCTTCTTCCACAAATCTGGGTCCTTTGGAGCTGGTTTCCTACCAGAATGATTCTTCTGGGTGCTAATTGCAATTCGTAGGCACATATGGAAAGTTCATGGAATTGTTGGTGGAGGTCCCCAAAGGCCATCCAGTCTGACCCCCTCTGCCAAGCAAGAAGACACAGTCATGCAAGGCCCATCACACAAACTTTAGAAACATAGAGTTGGAAGGGATCCCAAAGGCAATCTAGTCCAAACACATCCTTCCTGCCAGTTAGGAAGACACAACCAAAGCCTTCCCAACAGAGGGCCATTCTGCCTCTATTTATAGAGCTCTAAAGATGGGGATTCCACCACCACTCATTGTCAGAAATGGCCTTTAAAAAGGGATTTCTCATGGCCAACAGTGCTGACAGGCTGTGTTGACCCTTTCTTCCCAAAGTGAATTCCCACTTTTGGGGTATATTTGCATTCCAAGGTTACAATGTCTTAATAGTGCTTTAAGTCCATTTCTTATTATTTTTTTAAAATACCAGTGTTTTATTCTTTAAAAAATACAAAAAATATTCTAAAAAAAAACAGAAAAACAGAAAATGAGTTCCATCTAAATGTATAAATGTCATTTTGTAATTGTGAAATAACATGAGTAGGTTGGGCCTGGTGAAGTGGGGCACAAACTAAGGGTATGGGGAAGAGGGGAAAATAATAATTTCCTTAATAATTTCCTTAATAATAATTTAAATTTAATAATAATAATTTTAATTTCTCCTCCCTATTCTACTAAATTAATAATTAAATTTAAAAAATATTTTAAAAATATTGAAAAAAAAAGGGGCGCCATCTTTACAAAACGTTTTGTAAATATTTACAAAATTTCGTAAATACCGAACTTTTTTTTTGGAAAATTTTGTAATTATTTTAAATAACGAAACAAAAAAACACCCCAATTACAAAACGATTACAAAACCAAATTTTTGCGTTGTTACCCAGGCCTAATAGAAAGTGTGATTGTACCTCCCTGTCATCTAAGGACTTTATTGCATGAGAGAAGCAAACTGGCAACGAGGATTGTGGTGACAGACCCAAAATAAATTTTGGAAAAATTCTACCTCCACCCATTTTTAGTCTGCTTGGGGGGGGGGGGGACAATAAATCCTGTACAGTGTATGAAACTAGACATTATTTGCAAAACCAGTGGTTTGATGCCAAAGGGTAAATAGAAGATCGGCATTGTTCATTGCCAGTCCTGTGATAAGGATTTGATTATTCAGAGGGATTATGTAAAGATATTGACGCTATATACATTCTACAATCCCATGCTGTCATAGAATCATAGAGTTGTAATAGCTCACAAAGCCATCCAGTTCAATTCCATTCTGCCCCCGACAGATGATCATCCAGCCTCTTCCTCAAAACTTCCAGTTCAGAGTTGAGTTACTCATTAAAAGCTAGTACTTCATGTCTATGTTATCAATTAATCTTCACTTCACTTAGGCAATTCCTCATAGTCCGAGGATGATGGTCCTCCAACGTCGGGGTTCTGGTGGTGGGTCCATAGATGACCGTGGAGTCCTATTCTTGATCTACATCTTCTCCCGCAGTGCGGGCATCGATTTCCAGGTGGAAGGCGGTCCCGGTCGGGGTTGACTTGATGTGCCTTCCTCTTGGCATGTTTCTCTCTTTCGCTCTCCATTTGTGACTCTTCAAATTCTACAGCACTGCTGGTCACAGCTGACCTCCAGCTGGAGTGCTCAAGGGCCAGGGCTTCCCAGTTCTCAGTGTCTATGCCAGAGTTTTTAAGGTTGGCTTTGAGCCCATCTTTAAATCTCTTTTTCTGTCCTCCAACACTCCATTTTCTGTTCCTGAGTACGGAGTAGAGCAACTGCTTTGGGTGACTGTGGTCAGGATCTGGACAATGTGGCTGATCCAGCGGAGTTGATGGCGGAGGACAATGGTTTCCAATTACAAGAAAGGAGATTCCATCTGAACATGAGAAAGAACTTCCTGACTGTGAGAGCCATTCAGCAGAGGAACTCTCTGCCCCGGAGTGTGGTGGAGGCTCCTTCTTTGGAAGCTTTTAAACAGAGGCTGGATGGCTATCTGTCAGGGGTGATTTGAATGCACTATTCCTGCTTCTTGGAGAGGGTTGGACTGGATGGCCCATGAGGACTCTTCCAACTCTTTGATTCTATGATTCTATGACCATCGATTCAATGCTGGTGGTCTTCGCTTCTTCCAGCACACTGACATTTGTCCACTTGTCCTCCCAGGAGATTTGCAGGATTTTTCGGAGGCAGCACTGATGGAATCGTTCCAGGAGTTGCATGTGATGTCTGTAGACTATAGTTAAATGCAGTATGAATTTCCTTTAGAAAATATCATTTTATAGAATCATAGAATCATAGAATCAAAGAGTTGGAAGAGACCTCATGGGCCATCCAGTCCAATCCCCTGCCAAGAAGCAGGAATATTGCATTCAAATCACCCCTGACAGATGGCCATCCAGCCTCTGTTTAAAAGCTTCCAAAGAAGGAGCCTCCACCACACTCCGGGGCAGAGAGTTCCACTGCTGAACGGCTCTCACAGTCAGGAAGTTCTTCCTCGTGTTCAGATGGAATCTCCTCTCTTGTAGTTTGAAGCCATTGTTCCGCGTAGGAGTTCTTTATGGAATTGGTTAGGAATTTTTCCCTGTTACCTGGTGTTTTTCTCCCTACCACATAATATATCTTAATAATAGATTGGCATTGGCAGATAGAAAGAGGAAAATATGAGCGATAGATGGTGAATACCCCGCACCCTTTTTGTGAAAAATGGGATCTAGAACAGCAGCTTTAGGTCCTCCAATCTGTGGGAATACTGGATCAAGCCCACATTGGGAGTCAGTAAACATGTGGCATAGATTTCATTTGTCACTTCTCCGGGTCTTGGGAGAAGATGGATAGCAAGCAGCCACTGAATTTCAATCCTCCCAGCTGAACCCCCCCCCCCCCCCCCCCCCCCCCCCCCCATCCCCTTTCCTTATGTGTGTCATGCCTTCTTTAGATTGCAAGCTTGAAAACAGGGAATTTTTTTTTGTGATGTGTGGGCTACAAATACAATAAATCCATTAATAAGGATGAATGAATGAATGAATGAATGAATTTTATTGTGACAATCACAGACCAGGAGTGCAAGCATTAAAACATTAAAATCAGAAATACATTAACATTAAGAGCAGCGATTCAAAACATTAAAAGTAGAAAGTCCCCAACATTAACATTAACATCAATGATTCAAAAGCAGAAAGTATCCAACATGGAGTCGTCCAGATTGGCTCTTACAAAATCTGCTGGAATAAACACTAAAATGGATGAGTTAAAACATTATCCTTTAATATCATCCACAAGCCGCCTCCCTATTTTTAAAAGCAGCATCACAAAACTTAGCCAAGACTAAGCCATTAATCAGAATGTTCTGCCCAATTTTCAAATCTTGAACTTTTCAATAAATACTTCTAAATATTTGGTGGACTCCGTTCCTCTGTGATGGTTGCTTTTAATACAGCAGAGGTGGGTGAGGCATTCGGAGTCATGATCAAAATGTAAAGACCAATTATAGAATCATAGAATCAAAGAGTTGGAAGAGACCTCATGGGCCATCCAGTCCAACCCCATTCTGCCA